AGATTCTACAAGAAAAGAGTCAGCGCGCGCTGGAAGAATACTGTAAAACACAGTACCCTAACCAGGTCAGCCGGTTTGGGAAACTTCTGCTCCGTTTGCCGAGTCTGCGCAGCATCAGTTCGTCGGTCATCGAGCAGCTGTTCTTCGTGCGCCTTGTCGGCAAGACACCGATCGAGACCCTGATCAGAGACATGCTTCTCAGCGGGGCTACCCTCAACTGGCCCTATGTACCTCTTTCATAGCTGTAAACTTCCGAACGCCTGTGTCTACGGCGTGATTCGTGCTAATGGACGTGGTTCCCGCAGCACGTGATCTCTGTGTGTGTTTCTGTATGATGTTCATCGCTATGATCTGAAAAACTTCCTGCGCACCGTCAACCGGGGGCAACCACCATCAATCGATCACCTGTTCGCCACTTGAGGATTTGTCGTGCTACGGGACGGACATCGCCGTCGGTTGATCAATCCATGTGGTGGTTCTGTTGCTCATCATTTCCAGGCGTGTGCGGGTTTGCCGTTTGCCAAATACGAACAGCAGCACAGCATCGTCGTGGTCGTCGTAAATCTTGCTGGACGATCAGCGTGCTTTATGGTGCAGCACTTAGTGTCATTCGATGCTAAGCGAGTTGATGATCTCTGTTGTTCCAAAACCTTGCCAGTCATAAAGCACTCTAGTCCAAGTGCTTCGTCCTGTTGTATTACTTCGTGATTTTAATTGTGGCCGGCTTCTTTTTGCTACAATGGACGCAAAACGTAAGCTTCGCTTGCAGTACATAAATTTCGTTCTTTTTGCAACTTTCTAGTAAAACGATTAGTTGACCCGTTGATCTTACTGTAGTTGAGAAGCTAGTGGCACACCTACAGCAAAGATGTCTAGAACAACCTGTACGGTTCAGACCAATGAAGGTTTACAGTTCGATGGTGAGCGGTAGCACGATATACTGCACATTCTGGGAGGATAGAAGCAGGTTGTAAATTTCGTCGCAACCTTCAGGTGTCTCTAATCTTAGGCATACTTCTGCCTCATGACTGGCCTTGTGAACTGCAATAACGCTGATGAGAATATATGCCGCCAAGCATTCCCCTTTTCTCTTTTGCTCATCGCTTTCTGCCGTCTACAATCCAAGCAAAAGTTAAGAATTTGAAAATCCGTTTGATTTTTACTTTCATATAGATTTTTTTGATCTACGCTTCATTGGCCAAAAATTTCGCCTATCTTCGTCCCTGCGTCGTCCTCATCACGAAGAGAGCAGGGAATTGTCGGTGCCGACGCCGCTGCCGGTCAAACGTCATAAAATTATAAATCGATAAGTGTTTTATAACATGACATTTGCAAATTGTAGTCGTTGTTGATTTACGATTCGAACGAAACGACGACCACGCAGCGAGATGGGAGCGCCATGGTCAGCACAGTCAGTACTCGAGCAGCGGCCATATCTGTGCGGCGATCGGTCAGCTCTAATCACATTACACACAGCAGCCATCCTCTAATCATAAGGTGAAAAGCGTCCGAAAGCCGCTGATGTAACCGTGTTGATTGAGCATCCTGTAAAAAAACTCTTACCTACCGTATCTTGTTGCCGTTACGTCACACGAAAGCAGCCAATAATATTCAGGTAGGCGACACCTGTTCGAGCCACATTCCACCGTATATTCAACAGTAGGCAAAAGGGCCAAAGCGCCATGGTAAGCGCGTGGCTGTGTCGTAGTGAAAGAACTACAATAGGAAGGAATACGATAGAAATGTACTGATGTATGCAGCAGTGCCGCTATTAGACCATCTGAAATCAAAGAGTGTATTATTTTTGATTTTCAGTCAGAAAGTGAAAAATTCTCATTGGCACAGCAAGAAGCATGATCATAAACCGTGTGAAGAATTGGCTAAAGATGTAGGTGAAAACCAATGACCATTGAATGAAGGGGTCGAACACAAATATGAAACTGTGACGGGGTGTCAGCCAAAACGATTGTGACAAAAGACGTTAATTTATCTTATGTTCATACGGGATGAACAATAAGAAACAAGAAAATAAATTAAAAGCCGTTGTGAGGTTAATCCTAAAACGTTCATGACAACATGACACTCAAATGCCGCTCACATTTTCAAGCTTTTAATTAATCCATAAAAGAACCTAGGTTAGTCCATATTATCTCAATTATTTCGAAAGCATATCATACGCGCGATGTTCATATGACCATGTGTATGTCGATGCAATGCTTTAGAGGTAGGTTTCGAACTCCTGAGATTTTGGCTTCGACTCCGGCAGAGGAACAGTCTTTGCCTTAACCGCAAATTGCCTGGAGAAAGAAATTTACCCAACGTCGGTTGAGGCATTCACTCCTAGTTTCTAGAGACCGGATTTACTAAGTCAGCAGAACGTTGCACTCAGAACCAATGGGTCCCAGGTTCGAGCTTTGATTGAGTCACTTGTCTTTTCTTCAAGCGAAGGTTGATAATTAAGCACTAATCTGTGAGGAGAAACCAGAGGACTACACATTATTCTTAGACAGCGTGACTGCTGTTGACTATGCCTTTAAAGGCGCTCCTGACTGATTGCATGGAAGTGAGGATTAGTGCCATACTATCAGCTTCATGAAAAGAAGAGTTCCAGAAATGATTTCCTCATGAAAGCGTAAGAAATCGGCTTTTTAATGGCTGCAGGCTTTCCTTTCCTGACTCAATTGGAATGACGTTGCTGCATGAAAGAAATGCTGTTTTTCAATGACACTGTCCAGAAATGGTCTAAGCGATTTCTACATTGTGCTGAAGATCGAATTGGCTGAATCTCTAAAAGATTCATAATGAAATTCATAATGATCACCATTGAGCCAATAAAAAACAGATATTTCATCTGATCTGGCAAAACTCATAGTTCGATTTGTGAAGCTGTTTAATTGTTTCCAAAAACATATTATCGATGAGAGATAGCGTAGTATTTTAATAGTCAATGAAACATTAGGTAAATATTGTAAAATTATGCCAGCGTATTTTCAAACGTACCTCGCTTATTCATACTGCGCTCATTCATTTGAAGAAACGCTTGCTAACTACAGAAACGATCCATCGCATTGAAAGCTGACAACTGATTTTGGACAATACGTTAAATCAAATCATTCTTATCCGCAATCACGATACACACATGGCATTTGGCACCGTTTAATGATTCAATTTCATTATTGCATACAGTGGTAAAAAATATATCAAATATTTATTGCCAGGCTAAGATTTTGGTTGTTATTGCTAGCCTTTGCTAACTGGAAACATACAGTGACACCTCCATTGTATAATACTAATTATTTCTCTTTGCATATGTCCCTGGGCTGCTTCACCGTGCTCTTTTCATTGATATGATCAAACGAAAAGATGAAAAGTTCTTCTCTTAGGCAGTTGGAAGATAGGCGTCGTTGCTGTCTAGAAATTGACATTTCTTAAAGGATACCAAAATCCATATCTAACCCTAACAACCTTTAACATTAATTCAAGGAGTCGTCTCAACCGTATCGAACAACAGCAGATAATTTTTTTAATAATTTGATCATAATGTAAAGAATTTTCTAATTTCTGCTGACGGTGAAAATGATTTCCCCTTTGGTATAGAACCTTTGTCGTTGAACACTTCAAGCTGAACAGCTGCAAAAATTCACGACACTTTTCGGTTAAGCTTCTTGTAATATATTTTCTGGTAAATTGAATTACTTCAATTTTCTACTCACAATTCTTCAGAACAAGCGTTTGTCATTATCAAGCAATATGGGTCTGAAGATTTCATAAATTTACGAAAAATTACATTTATAATTAGATAGCACAATCAACTGACAACTTACTAAGTGCATGATAAGCATTAAAATTCACTTGAATATGATATGTTAACATCAAAGGTATGTTTCTCAGTCATCTCGTCTTCAACAGCAAAACATAAATGCATGAAGCCTAAAATTTCCTTTGTCTGATTGAAACTTTTAACAGCTTAACATTTCTGTAGCTTAAAGTTTATTGGATATATTCAACTAGACTTTGCGACAAACCCTTAATTACAAACCTTCTTCTCCTGTCATTCTTTGTTCAAAGAGATGATGATTTAAAACTTCAGACTTTAAAACTGATGATTACGACTGTTTCATTTGAAATTTTCTGCGCTGGCCCAACGAAGAGGCTGAATGATACAGTTTCCAATTCATTTCTTGATGATATTCCTTAAAAACTATTCGTCCACCTCTCCGGTTCAATTTTTGCATGTCTCCATTTGCTGTTTGGAAGGAATCAGCGAAATGTGGACAAAATGCTGCTCTTTTTTGAGAGAGCATTTTGAGGAACTTCTCAACTCAGAAATACTGCCGGAAGACTCGCTGAAGAGCAACAGGTAGCAGAAATCAGTATTTCACTTGGCGAAGTCACATAAGCTTCAATTGACTTGAAAAGTAGCAAGGCGTCTGGAATCGACATAATCCCTCCTGAGGTATTCAAAGCTATTGAGGAACAACACAGTTGTAATTAAAGTGTATCTGCTTACTGACTATGGGGAAGACGCCGGTGGACTGGAGAAATGGAATGGTCATACGTTTGTTCAAGATAGGAGAAAGGACATCATGGTGACTGCTGTATTATCGGGGCGTTAACTTATTGAGCCTTCTAAAAGGAATCTCTACCAAGGCATTGGAAAGGTAGTGCCCCAGAATAGCTGATTCTAAGATCCAAAAGTAGCAGTGCTGCTTTAGGTCAAGCCGACGCACCTCTGACCAGATCTTTGCCTTACGTAAAATAATTCAGAAATTATGGGGCGGAGTTTGGTTTGTCAGTTTATACGAAAATTCAATCCTGTATGTTGATACCAGGTGCCATGTCAAAATAAATAGTATTAAATCGACAGCTTCAGCATCGGTCTCCGCCAAGCCTGCGTTCTGTCCACTCTCCTATTTGTGCTGTACATGGATGGAATATCCAGCAGCAGCCAAGGCGATGAGTGTGTGAGTGCAAAGAGGAGAAGTTTGATGTTAGCAGAGGACCTTGTTTTATTGGCCTTTACTGAAACTGATCTACAATGATCCCAGAGAGGTTCGCAGCCAAGTCCGACATGACAGGCATGAGTATCAACGCATCCAAAGCGAAAAGCCTAGTGCTTTTTCATTCTCTTGGTCGTTAACCTCTTCAGATCAACGGAGAGACAGTGGAGGAGGTGAAGATGCTGACGTACCTTGGAGTAGTATTTACTAGCAATGGAAAATTTCAGGAAGAGGTCGAATTG